TTTCAATCTCGAAATAAAAGTTTCAATCTCGAAATGGGACCTGATGACCAGAAGTCTAGAACCGTGTCTTTCTTCCTCATGATTTTTCCATGGACCTGACTACGGTACAGAACAAATAAATTAGATACCGTACCTCTAACTTTTAATATTTTAATAATTTTTTTATAATTTTTGTAAGTTATTTTATAATTAAAAAATTTATTATTTTTTTGAATATTTTTATCACTGGTATAAATATTTTTATCAAATTTGTAGTAACTTTTTTTTATCACTTGTCTTTGATACAAAAAGACAAATTTTTTCGCACTATTTTTTTTCCGGTATTTTTATCACTTTTATATTAACTATTTTTATAACATTTGTGATTTTACCTTAATATCAATCCTAAAATGTGAGTGTTCAACGAGTGTCGGTGTGCTTCTTGATGAATACTCGAACGCATGAATTTCTTTCTGGAAGTCAATTCGATCATCCTCCATCAAAATGTAGAGTGTTTGGGTTCAATTATAATATTAAATAATTATATTATATTTTACATAATATAATTGTATTAGTTATTGCCTGTGTTTGAAGGCACAAAATAATAAAAAATAGTAAACAATAAATATATTTGTATTCATATCTAAAATTAAATCTCAAATATAGGGAAGAAATAAAAAAATTTAAACATCAGTTTTTAGTAGGGGTGAGAGATAGTGGGCGATAGTGGTGGTGGTAGTGGCGGCGGTGGCGACGACATTGGTGGTGGTGGTGATGGCGGTGGTGGGAGCAGCAGTGATGATAGCGGTGGTGACAGTGGTGGTAGCAGTGGTAGTGATGGTGGTTGTGGTGGCGGTAGTGGTAATGGCGGTGGCGGTGGTGGTGGAGGTGGCGACAGTGGTGGGTGGTGGTGGCAGTGACAGTGGTAGTGGTGGTAAAGATAGTGGTGGAGCGGTTCAAAATAATATATATATTTTTTAAAGTATTTATGAGAATTAATTGCTAGAAACACTTTTAAAAAATTACTCCAAACATACACTTAGGTGCCTATTTTTTTTCTATTAAATTTGAAGTTTTAATATTAATCGTTAGATTAACTTTAAAGTAAAATTTAAAGCGATCTCAACCGTGAATAATAAAAGTCATTTTGTTTATCTTTTGAGATTTGAATTATAAGCTACTTTATTATATAGATAATGTACAAAGGTTTTTTTAATTTAAATTTATATTTTTTGTGATCAATAATTTTAACTGAATCAATTACATATTCTGGGTTATGAATTATGTTTTGTTTGTACCATAACCTAACCATAGAGAATATTTTTGAAATCAATGAGTCTTTGGTCCAATGATACTCCTTATCTTGTGAAAGTTTTACTTTCTTGAGGTCAAGGGTTCAAGCCCTCTTTCCCCTTCCACCTTTTCCCTCCCAAAAAAAAAAA